CACAATGTGTTAGCAATGACTTTAATGAAGGTCCTGTTCTATTATGATGCAAGATCTAAATCGTATGTTAGTAACACCTGTGTTTACCTTCGATTTCATGTCAGAATGCTTTTGTGATAAAGTAGTTCTACACTGGTTCTCCAAACCCACAGCAAGTGTGTTTACATGCCATTTAATTCAGGTCTACAAAAGCAGACATGACCAGTAGTGACCTTTTCCACCATCTATTGCTTTCATGCTTTGAATGAGGAATACTGTGAATAGAACATTTTGAAAGGCACGTTCTCCAGGTGTGCTCGGACATCAGTGTCCTGAAGGCCATAGGAAATTTTTGTCACCCAAAAGCCATTATTAAATATCTGGTCTAATGAGAATCACCTGGCTCTGCTTTTAGTGTCCTATATGATGATCTGTTTCACTTGACCTACTTTTGATTTTATTTATTTATTTTTTTTGCCAATTCATTCATGGCTGTTTTTTAATATAGGTACACCAGAAGCAGGGGCAGCCAGCCGGGCGATCTGAGTGTTTCCTGGCTTTGATGCGACCCGAGGGTGCCTGGAGCATGTCCACAGTGGGCCTGACTGCCCAGGAGATCTCTTTTCCCATAGAAAACCCCTTTCTCCGGGGCAGCTACTGTCACAGCATGGCTGGATCTAAACCCTCCTGGCGCGATCGCCATGTACTGGACAAGTGAGTGTTGTGGTGCACTTCATTAGAGAAAGACTTTAGAAAGGATGTGCATGTCATGTTGAAATTGCATGGTTCAGGTTAGTCTTACATTTTCTGTTAATTTCAATATGTCACATTTCTGTGACGAAGCACTGCTGTTCTGAAACGTCATTCTTCTTTTCTAGCAGCTTCTACTTCAGTATGGACAGGGCAAACATAGATCACAGCTATCGTGCCCAGCAAAAGGAGCCACCTCCAAGTTATGAGAGTAAGTTAAATATCTTTATTTCCTTTTCTTTCTTTTTCATACAGGATGTACCTTTTAAACTACACAAATGCTGCATTGCATGAATTCTCTTTCATTGTTTGTTATTTCACATACTGGATATATTGTTGTAACCTGAATATTATAAAGTCTGTGTAGTATTATAGTATTCGATTTTTATTGTCTTTAATTTACTTTAATTATTTATCAATCTGCCACTTGTCTGATGGTTATTATTTTTTTCAACTTACTTTTTTGGCAGGACATAAACACAGTCCCAACTCACAGAGAATACTCTCAAAGAAATCCCGGCCTTCCCAACTCTTCCTGTCCTCCAGCAATGAACCTTCCACCCCAAGTCCTGCTGATGATGACCTGCTGATGAGGCTGTCATTTAACGAGTTGAACAGCCCACCACAGACACCTAGCAGATGCTCTAAGCCTCTACCCCCTATTCCCCCACAGACAGATATCTCCCATGAGCAGGCTATGGACAGTGAGGTAGAATTTTTCACAAGTTCAGACGACAGCTGCCGCCTGGTGTCTGATCAATTTTCCAAATCAGCTTTTAGAAATCCTCTATCTCACCGAAGGAGCTTCAAGGACTGTGGGCAGATTAACTACGCTTACTACGATGGGCCATTAGGACCGCAAAGCCCGCAGCAACCCCAACAGCACCATCAGGCAAATCCTCTGCAGGAAGTACGGGAACAGTATGAGCAGCCACAGGAAAGACCCGCTCAGAGGAGGCTACGACGCTCTCTCTCTGGACCAGCTGGATCTTTACACAAGCTGCCACGACCCACATGCCCAAAAAGGTACCCCAACAATATGGATAAACAAGAGGTTCCCCCTCCTATACCTCCACGTAACGTCAAGACAGATTGCAGGCGCTGGTCAGCAGAAGTCTCATCTGGGGCTTACAGCGATGAGGACAAACCACCCAAACTGCCTCCAAGAGGCCCTCTGTCCACAGGCAGCTCCCGCACTCCCAGCCCTAAGAGCCTCCCAACATACACTAACGGGGTGATGCCCCCAACCCAAAGCTTTGCACCAGATCCTAAGTATGTAAGCGGTCGGAGTTTACAGAGACAGAACAGTGAGGGCTCCCCATGTATCCTTCCTATTATGGAGAATGGCAAGAAGGCCAGCACCACACATTACTACCTTCTGCCTCAGCGGTCTCCTTTTGCAGACTCGCCTTGTGACTGCCACACCAGAAAGAAAGCACAGGTGGATTTTGTTTGAAAAGTTTTTGTGGAAGTAATAGAAGACTATACTGTACATGCGCAAAACCCACTTGACAAAATGGTGAAATTGGACACCAACAACCTTTTAAAACTGCTGCTTTTACCTTTTTTCTTTTTTCTTTTTGTAATACCCCTTATGTATTTTGAACACACAGGGGATTTGCGCACTGTGTACAGTTACTGGTAATATTGAAAAGATATTTTCTGTGAAAACCATGTCTAACTAAAGATTGTGGGCAAAGTTCAACAGTCTATAGCTTATTTTTTTAAAATATGTTTTAATTTTATGAAATTCAATATTTTGCTCTGTTTTAGTAAAGATGTGGTACGGCCAGAAAGTACAAGCGGGCCTTGTACCTTGTGTGCTCAGTGTTTTGTGTCTGATGTGGTGTGGATGTTTTGTGAGATGCACTGGGGCTTTTTGATGGTGCTTTTGCATCTCACAAGGGACAAAAAGGTCAGTAATGTAACCATGTATCACTTAATATATGAAGTCTAAATACAAGCCCGATGAATTTATAACAAAATGAAGGATTCTAGCACGTGCCGATTCTGTTTGCTATTATATCAATACTGATATGGGTTTCGCGCCTTGATGTAGTGTCAGTCTTACTCAGGCTGACTACTTCAAAGTAAATTTGTGTTGTGTTTTGTTCTTTGTTTGTTTTTTCACCCCATATGGCACATTGTCATGGTACATTTTGTACCAGTAGGTGGGTTCATTACTAGTAGCTAACCATATTTCTTTTGGATTGTCCAGTGCAGCTGAGTATGGTGTAGCGTCTTGAGTGTATTTGTGTGTGTATGTGCAGTGGATGTGTTTGCGCATATGTGCATGTGAACAGCAGTTGGGAAAAGTGTTTAATTAGTAAAGAATTGTCAACAATGCTTGTTACTGTGCAACACTTGTTAGCAGTGCCCGCTTTTTAGTAGAGCCTTCTAAGAAGTGCACACATTTGATTTATTTCTGTCAGTCTCCAGATCTGTTTTATTGCACAGGAACTGGTCTGTTGACTGTCAGTGAATGTGTGCTGTTCTTCCAATTGAAGCTACTTCTTTTTCTTCTTTTTTTTCTGGTCAAGCTGTGAGTCATTGCTTGAAACACATTTGCCTCAAGTACTACCTCACTTTGATATTATCCTTATACCTTTACAAACTCCCTGCTTTAAATTGTGTTCACAGGTGAAATTTGAAATTGTAATCCACGAGCGATGAGGTAACGGCTCCATATGTGACCTAACACTTGTAGGAAAAGACAATGAATTCAAACGCAAAATCTGTTCTAACCGGATATCCTAATATGGAGATTTTAGATGAAATAGATTTTAGATGAGAGATGTTTGACTAATCTGTTAATACAAATGCATTACAAAGACAGTACAGGGTTTACCTACCTGACACAGACTTTCCTGTTCTGCACATGCATTCCTGCCTTACATGATTGCAGTGGGTGTGGTCTGAAAGACTTTGGCTGCTGGCAGCCTACAAAATGTATGATTTTTTTTTTTTTTTTTTTAATTGTTGTACATTATCCACAAGGCGTCAGGATGATATAGAAAATGTAGCACATGTATTGAAGTAACCCTTGGTATCAAACACGGTGTTCAGTTTGGGAAACAAATAACTGCTAAGGTCAATCGGTCATTGAAGTATCTTTTTTTTCTTCTCTTCCTTCTGTTCACAGATCTTACCAACACAATGTTGCTTTTGACTTAAATGTTTGGAAAAATGTTTACATCATACACAAAAAAACAAACTATTTAATCTTAAGGTATTCATATGTCTTATTAGAAATGTTAAAACAGAATGAAGACTAGTTTATCAAGAGATAACACTCTGCTGTGGCGAAGACATGCACTGGGAGAGTTCAGTATGCTGTGTACAGTATTTAACAACTCCATTTGTTATTATGAATAGTTGATAAGTATATAGTCTTTAAAAAGAAAGCAATAATAAAGTGACTTATTTATAAGCTTGCTTCGTCCTGTGTCTTGAACCTGTCAAGAGTGAACTCTCAACTCAGCTGTTTGGCTTGTTTTATCACCCACACGCCCTCATGGTGTACTTTATTGTGACTGGCTTCGATCCAAAGAAAGAAGAGTGACAGGTGTACAGTAGAATGCCTTCCTCTTCCTGGTTATAACTAAATTTCCTCCTGCACGATTGCTTCATCGTTCCTTGGCAGCGGGCTTTGCACCCACTGCTTTTAAAGCCCTTTTAACACTGTTACAAGTGTTTTATTCTCAATTTGAATCCTTGTGGTTAGGCGTGGAGCCAAAACCACAGTGAACCCCATTAGAGGTCAAATAATTACTAAATGAGCCACAGTTCAGCTCCAATTACAATACTGGCAGAGACCTTAGTGATTTGTATTTCTGCTGATTTGCTTAAGACAGTGACTTCTCTCAATGAAACAAAAGGTGAGAGTTTAAGTTAAGTTGTCTAGGCCACCTGAAAACCTTTTCACTTGGTTCTCGCTTAGGTGAGTTACTAAGCAACAGCATGCGTGTTGACTATAGCTACCAAAGAAAGACTCACTGCGCTTTTAAAATAATTGCTGGAGGCAAGAAAGACAAAAAAATTGGTAAATTAACAGGAAGACCGGTTTGCATTCAGATTGAACATAGTTTATTAATCGGTATTCTAAGATCCTTTCCCTTTAGTGGGACTACAAGTCACAAATGCATTAAGTCATAATGGACACAAGACTTATATTTCTCTCTGTAGCCACAATTTCATAGAAACTGGAACAAAAGAGATCCTGAAAGTTCTATTTTTTTCTCTCCATTAAATTTCAACACCCCATACACAAACATACAATATGTATGGCTTATCTTTCAGTTTCTCATCAAATACATTTCCTGCCTCAATTAATTAAACTCTGGCACTCTGGAGGCATTAATGAGTGAAATAAACTAATTTCTGTGATAAAAATATTATGATTTTTGTAATTATTCCCTTAATTGCTATACAAATTCTACTTTGCTGGTTACACTACAGTTCTTTGTGTTAAAGAGCCCATATATGTTTAGGTGTTTCTGTAGGACTTCATAGGTCTACACTATAGAAATAAAAAGTAGGAATGGTCATATTGGAGAAGTGCTGATGATGCAGTATATCTATAGCTAGACTATCCACAATCTCATATATTTTCAAGAGAGGATGGAGAAGTATGGATTGTGTGTCTTCCTCTACTCCATCACACAGAGGAACGCACATACACACACAAAACAAAAATCATGAAGCTAGACTAAAAAATAAGTTCCATTGTTTGCATTAACTTCATGTTTAGGCGTAAATTTTCTTATCGTTTGCTGTGAGGTGATTTGTAAATATTTAACTCGGGCTGCAGTGCTGCTAGTTAAATTTTATTCAGGTCACAGTACCTGTGTAGGAAATATAGAACATCAAGCAAAGGTAAAGAACTTGCTCAGTGTACCACCTCTATTGAGGCACTAGGTGGAGACAAAACCAAATCAAGGGCTTATCTCAAAAGAACCAAAGTTAAGTTTGTTTTTCTATTATGAATCAGCTGCAAATACATGCAAAAGTAGTTTGATTTCCTTTCTATGAAAAAAAATATCTTAAAATTCCATTAAAGGCCATGGTCTGTGTGTCTTTCTCCTTTGACTCTTCAAAAGCGAAACACTTAAAATAAGCACATCTATGCCATCTAGTGGCAGGTGACTGTGGACTGCAGAGCCCTAGTCTGGATTATTTTCTTGTTGGGGTGTCAAAGTTTTTTTGTTTTTTTTAATGGATAAAAATAGAGATGCTGTTTAAAAAGCAAAAACGAACAAAAAACAGAAGCACCTATCTGATACAGTAAAACCATTGCATAGATACTGTGTAACATTTTAACTGGACAGATGTTTAACAAATATGCAAATGTGTGTATTTGAATGCTACAGTAAGCATTTTTTGTGTTTCACTACTGTTAGATGTTAATTGTAACAAGCTCAATAGAGATATATCATAGAGTATAAGCAGTAGCTAGCCCATATTGCATATTGTTTAATAACACTAAAGACAAACTTAACTTGTTATTTAACAAAATTATCTATAGATAATACAGTGGGTTTCTCAGTTTGTGCATTCAGAAAATGTAGATTTTCCAGGCAAAAACTTTAGGTTAAAAGAGATTTATTATTATTTTTACTATTTGAACAGTGCTGAGAAAGATATGTCAAGATAGGATAAAAAGAGAAATGGTGCTCCATGATATGTTGGTGTGGAAAATAATATACGTGCAAAAACATATGCATTAAATTTAAGTTCTTATAAATAAATGATAAATAGCAAAACAACTTCAAAATGTTTTAAAATTAAAAGATGATAGTTCTTACTAATCTTTAAGTAAGATTATTAGCGATTAAAACAGTAACTAATTGCTTAATTTTATATAATATAGTGAATATATCAGTTTCTAAATGTTTTCTGATCTATAAGTGCCTGCCAGTCCCAAGTTGGAAATTCCTGAAAGACAAAGTCAAAAATCATAGTTTTAAACATTGCTGAAAAATAGTTTAAAATAATTATTGCATTATTAATAACTAATCATAAATAATTATTATAATAAATCTCTGAATATGATAGTAATTAGAGTAAGACATACGTGTATCAGTGAAGTCAAAGAAATCTCCTTCAAGAAAAGACAATCTTCTCCTCTGAGAGTTGCTCCTTTTCCTAAAAAAGAAAAGGATGCTTGTTTGTGTTTTTACTCAATGACTGAACACAAAAAGCGATTTTTTTTTCCAGAGTACATTACAGGAAAACGCGCAGAAGGCATCATAACCCACCAAGTATACGTATGTCTCCTTTTGAAAATGACAGCGATGACGATTATAATGAAGAGCAGGAGCGCTACTGCGAGTGAGCCAAACAGTGCTCCATAGAAACCTGGACCTCGGCGGAAAAGGTCACATTGTGGACCATAAAACTGCTCCAGGCTGGTTTCGTAGCACCTGGGTAAAATTCAAAAGAGGTTTAATAAAAATAGTTTTTACAAAAAAAACTAGATAGATAGATAGATAGATAGATAGATAGATAGATAGATAGATAGATAGATAGATAGATAGATAGATAGATAGATAGATAGATAGATAGATAG